CAAACCATAAAGCAAAGTCTCTGAAATAAATTGCTAGAGTATAGAGGCTAATAAGTTTCAGATAAAAAATTATTTTTAAAAAATCTTTAAATTATTGTTATTTTTCTTGTTTTCCAATAAACAGTTATGAAAATTTAAGACGGTATAATAATAATTATCGATTAATAAATTAATTTAGCTCAAATTTCAGGGTGACACGACTAAAAATCTCCCCGGAAAAAATCTCCCCGACAAAATCTAATTTTAAGGTAGTATCCTCGCGACATATAGTGCGAGTAAATTTAGGTATAGTTTAGGATATTTTTCTTCTACTCATGGTTATTTTTGAATAATACAGTTATTTTTTAATAATATTTAAAAATCTAGATGGTAAAAATCAATGAAAGTTTGAAAAAAACAAATAATAGCTGTTTTTTAATAGTAGTTTAGTTTTTTATGAAAATCTTAAAAAAAGTTTCTTAGTTATAATAAAATATACGAGTAAAATTTTCGGTATCCCGTATATCACAGTGCATAACCTCCTCTAAAAATTCGAACTTTGAAATTAAATATCTCTGAAACTAGATGGTCAAAAAATTTCAATTTGCGTCAATCGATGCAGAATTATATGAATATTAATCTGCCAAAATTTAAAAAAATTCTTAAGAAAACGCCTCTGGCGAGGGTAATACCTTAACATGTCAAATGGGAAGATCAAATAATATTGAATCATTTTTTTTCATTCAATATGTATAATTGCACGCTAAAATATTATAAAATGGGTATCAAATATTCAAGAGAAAAATTTTCTCAAGGTGAGAAAATTTTTTTCTCAGCTGAAGTAGGTGGCGCTGCTTCCCTAAAGTATCTAAAAATCTTGATCAAATATAAAAATTTATTGTATCAAGTATTTATGATAATTTGAATTAAGAAAAAATTACTTCCATCAAGAATAGAATTTGAAGAAAAATTATTACTTCGGCCAAAACAACTTCGGTCTTCCTTCAGGCACCCGAAAATTTTCTTGAGCCAAGAATTTTGTTCTCCCGTCAAGAAATTTTTCTTTCTGTGTAGACTTGAAATTTAATTAGAGTATTATTTTGACTTACACAGATTCCCAATTCTATCGAATTGGCATGCACTTTTTATCCATGTAATTATTCTAGCTAATATTCATTCTAACTTTCAATGTGCAATCATTATAACATTCTCGTGTCTTTCTTTCAAAAATTAATAATAATTGATAAAAAAAAAATTTGTAATGAGCATTGAAAGTTTCGGTAAAAGAAATTGCAGGTCTCATAAGTGAAGAAATCTTCTTAGTATAACCGAACAAAAAAACCGGCTCTGCATTTATTAGTATAGATTAATAAACTGACAATTTAGCTAATAAAAAGAAAAAAATTTGATGAAATAAAAAATTATAGATTGAAAACAATCTTTGTCGCGGGCGAACATTGCGATTACGAGGCCAAGTCTTGGGCTGAAAATACCTTCAAAGTGCCGATTCTGAACCATTGGTGGCAAACCGAAACCGGTCATGCTATAACTGCGACTTGTCAGAGTCTAGGTCACAGCTTAAATCCCCCCAAACACTGTACAGGAATGCCTTTTCCCGGATACAATGGTAATTTATATTAAAAATTTTGCTTTGTTAATTATTCCTCATGAATCGAATGATTAAGTTTTATTTAAAATTTTAGTTAAAGTTCTTCGCGAAGACGGAAGTAAAGCATCGGCCCATGAACTAGGGAGGATTGCTGTTAAATTACCTTTACCGCCTGGAACAATGTCGACACTGTACAAAGCACCTGAACGCTTTAAAGACATTTACTTCTCAAAGTTTCCTGTATGTATCAATTTTATTATTTATTAAGGTAGTTCCACAAAATATATTTTTTAAAGATTTTTATTTGAGTGATTTTGCGTTGAATGGTGAAAAATAAAATTTATAAACAATAAATTTGTTGCATTAATGAGGATGAATACACGGATAAAATTAAATTATTTTATTTACAGTACGAAATTTTTTGCAATAATTAGTTGTCAAATTTTGTAATTAATTCTCTCCTTGTATATATAAGAGCCTTTGTATAATTCTCTTGAAAAACTAAACTATTATGAACCAACGAATATTAAATTTTTTAATTTAAAGAAAGTTACTTAGCAATAAAAAAATGTGTAATAAAAATTTCTTACATTTTAAATCTGAAATGTAAAATTTTTTATGTTCTGATATCTCGAAAGTTGTGACAAAATTTTCTATCTATAATTTTAAAGATTAATTTAATTTAAATAATAAATTTAAAAAAAAAGTTTGATTCAATTAAAAAAATTTGTCTATAGACAGATGTTGTAGCGTGTTCTTTCCTATTAGGAATAAAAAATTAATTTAATATTAAAAACAAATTTAATACTATAGTATTAAAAAATAATTATAATTAAAAGTGAATTAGAAACAGGAAATTGATAGTTAAGAATAGTATAAATTATATCAAAGATTATACGCTATAGTTTACATTAATCAATTATTAATTGCTAATAAATATTGATTTTTAAAATTGTCAGGGTTATTACGATACAATGGACGCGGGCTACATTGATGAATATGGATATGTTTACGTTACCGCGCGAGATGATGACATAATAAATGTCGCTGGTCACAGATTATCGACGTCAGCATTGGAAGATGTTGTGTTAAGTCACCCCGATATTGTTGATACTGCGGTTGTCGGTGTACCTGAACCTACTAAGGGAGACATTCCGCTATGTCTTTACGTCATGCGAACAGGTTACATAATCTCATAATTAATCTTTCTTGTAATAATTGCGTCGTCTTCATAATAATTAATAACCATACAAATCTATTTATAGATACGACTAAGAATGAAGAACAAATAAATCAAGAGTTAATTAACAAAGTAAGGCAGCTTATTGGACC